GTGCATACAGAAACTTACCGGGGAACCTTTAATATGTTCATTCCCATGGCCTCCCAGTCCATGGCACTTTCCAGCTGAACACTGCCAAAATAGTAACGTGGGATGGAAAACTTGAGCTCACATGTTCGTCTACAGGCATCTGAGCGTGAGCCGTAAAAGGATCCTCAAAGTGCGACTGATCAGTGATGCCTAATTGGCAGTCGTGCAGCCCAAGTGCCCTCGTGGGCTGGCTTCCGACAGAGGCAATGTTTGAATGTATGAACCCCTTGTTTCGCCAGCCTGCCGACCGAGCTCTCCTGCCCCAGTCCTGAGCCTGGATGCGCTCAGAGCCACCGGGTCTGCACTGGTGTTTCTCCTCACTTTGCATGTTCCCCTGACTATGGACTAGCAAGGAGCTGTGTCCTGGCAAGACCCCCAGAACCACAGAATTGACTGTTTTCCTCACTGGCTCGCAGCTTGGAGCTGAAGGCATGTCTTAAAACAGTGCAACTCACTTCAAATGCTTTTTGCTTTTCATTTATTATTGCTTGTCACGCAATGTTCTTTGAAAGCTTGCTCATATATTATCTGTTCCATTTTTTTCCATTTTCCCTTTTTTTGCATGCCGTTCCTCCTGTTTCCTCCCTTCCTCCAATCCTCTGTTCCCGTCTGTAGACACGGCAGCGACGACAGAGCCAGCAGTTCACGGTTGGTATCACGTTACTGTTTATCTACTTTCTCAGCGCTGCTGAGAGGCAAGGCAAGCCTGGGAAAAAGAGAAATGCAGTCTTCAAGGGAAACCGTGTTTCGAGTAGACTGATCTCATGCATAGACTGTAATTTTGAAGGCTTGAAAGGATGTCGAGTCTTGTCATTTCTGTTGTGAGTTCGGCACCCGTGGTGGCCGTCTGGGATGAGGCCAGCGCCCGCCGGGCTGGGATGCAGGAGATCCGGCTGCACGCGGCCCTTCTGGATAGAAAGCCACCAGACACCGAAATACGAGGGACTTCAAAAATGAATATTGCCCTAAAAATCATGGCCTCTGGATTAAAGGCCCAGTTGCTTTCTTTGTTTATAGGCTAGAGTCCCAGGTACATTTGGAAGAGGGGTCATTCATGTCACTTAGTAGTTGAGTCTGTGAAGGACAGGTGAGGGCAGAAGGGTAGTTCTGTTTAAATTCATGAGGCCATCGATCTTCTCTTAATTATGTTCCCAATCATAGCTACCTCTGCAGATGCGGGCCAGTTCCATCTTAATCTCCATGTGTGCATGCAGGCTTATGCTAGCTAGCATTGGGCGGGAAGCCTCTGCAAACCAGGAGTGACACCAGATGTAAATTTTAACAGCTAAGTGGGACTCAAAAAATCATTTGTTTGCGGGTATCTCGTAGGCAAAATACTAAAAAGTTGGTTATGTTGTAACCAAGAAGTGATTAAAAAAGAAAAACAAAACGGCCATAGGAATGTCCTTTTCTCAATTTCATCTCCAACTTACAAGGTTGGAATAAGTCTATTAACTTTTCTGTGTCTCTCCAATCAGAAAATTAGAATCATGTTTCATTTATATATGACTTTATTCCCTAACTCTAACCCCAGTGATATTGTGCTTGGAGAAAGAGACGTTAGTTAAAAATCGGGCTGAATTTTAATAATTGAGTTCGAGGGAATTTTTTGGTAAAGGACCTACTGAAATCACTTCGCCCGTTGTACAGGGTTGGAATCCATCATCTAAGTGACCAGGGGTGATCAGCCAACCCTTTACTGGCCCTGCATCTTTTAGCAAAACATCTCTTCCTAGTGCAGACTGACTTTCTCAAAACAGACCTACATTTGAGGACTTGGCAGTTAGAAATCTCTAAGCGAAACCCATCCTGTGTGAGCTGTCCCTGAAGGTCAAGCCTTGATGCTTGGCACATCATCCCCCTATCTGGACTTGCCTGATGAGGAATTCTGAGAAAGCAAAGTGAACTTAGGTTTGGAGCAGTATCTCCCTCCCTACGCCCCTCCCGCCTTACCTGGCCCTTTCCTGTCACCGGCACAGAGGGAAAAGGTAAAGGGCCAGATACACTGGCAATCATGAGAAATCAATTAGGTATAAAACCCCCACTTTCTAAGGTAATGCCCCATAGTGCTTGCTACAGCTCAGATACTGCACTCCATTAAGCTTAGTTATTTGTAGGTTTCATCATTAATTGAGCGCTTCCTGACTTTTATCGATTAGTCTCAGAGCTTCAAGGCTACTTTAATGTCATTCAAGAAATTTTGTTCTATTCTTTTTAAGATGCTTTAAGTTCTGAGCCTCCTATAATTGACTCCAGGGTCAAATGTAACCGTAAGATTCCTGAATTCTGTGAGATCTTTGAAGAAATATTGATCATTTATCTCCTAAGACTCCAGAGTTCTATTTGCTAGGTCCCTTCGATAAAATCCATGTACTTACGTTACTCTAATGGATGTAGGTCTTGGAGTCGGGTGAGGTATTCCAAGTAGGAAATATGTTCCCTGACCTGAAAAATGAGACATTAACTTAGGGGCCAGTCGTGGTCTAGGACATGGTTTTTGATCAGGTCTTTCTTCCTGGAAAGAGAGAAAGGGATGGTGATCTCTCTTTTGTGGTATACAAAGAGACAATTGGAATAAGACTTTCTAGCATTCCTGTGGTCGGAAACAGAGAAGCAACCACTGCCTTATTAGTTAAGGACAGCATTCGAGCCAGGATACACCACTAGGATGTTGTTCACTGGCTGGTAGCACATGAGAAATGGCTCAGAGCCAAGAACTGTTGGGGAGGAAGAAAAAGAATGCCCCCCCTCCCCAAACACACACACTATTCCTTACCAGCAGGAGGAGAGAAGTGATAACTCAGGTTGGTCCCCCTATGTAGTACATGTATAAACACATTCTCCTAACTTGTCTGTTATCCTCATAGCATCCTACCGCTGTCTGGAACAGCATACTCTCCAGCCCACAGCAAAAAGCTTTAATTGAAAGCCAGAGTAGTATCTAGACTCTTCTTTGACGGAGGGGAAACAGTCTTCAGGTCAGTCGTCAGGGTAGAAAAGGTGATAGGATATGGTGGAAACTATAAAGCAGGGGACCCGATTTCCAGAGAGATGCAGATCTGGAGCCCACTGCCTTTGAGTGAATTATGGCTAAAACTCAGCTTCTTCAGTTTAGCAACCTTTTGACTTAGGCGCACTTGAGAATAACCTTGAGATGTTCATGAGAGGGATCTGGGCCTAGAAAAATGGCATGGTCGGAGAACTTGGCAACTCAAATGACAAGACATATTAGGTCAGCCTGTCGTGGACACTTTATTGGTCTTAAAAGTGTTCATACTGGAGTTCCTCCTGTAGTTCTCTTTTATAAAAACGAAAAAGAATAATTTATAAAAAGCTTTCCCTTTGAAGACTCATTAAAACACTTTATTCAAGCTTGTGTTGCTAGAGTATGTATGAAGTATACCAGTTATTGATGTATGTTGATCATTTGTTCTTACCAATATCTGATTGGAATAAGCATGTATTGGAAGGTTAGAAGTGCATGGGCATGATTCAAAATCAAATGGATTTTCTCCAAAAAGAAACCAAGCAACAATCAGTCACAATGTGTTTTTAAGGATCTAATTGATGGTAAATGTAAAAGGGAGTGTAAGAATGGGATTTTTAGACTAGGGTGACCGAAGGGATTTTCTTTAAATAAGGATCTTGAGCACTTGTGTTTTTGGAGCTCATCCTTAAGGCCTGGTCAGGAAGAATCCTGTGTTATGTGTGCATGTTGAGCAATGCAAAAAACACTCTGCCAAATCCTGATACCACGTGGTCTGAAATTGATGGCAGAAATGCATGAGTGACTTAAAGCACGGATGGTGTAGTTGTTACTATGATTATCGACGTGTGGGTGCGCGTGACGGTTTTTGTTTGTTCAAATGTGGGCGCTTCTCTGTGTCTTGTGCCTTGTTCTTTTTCAGCCCTGTGTGTACCCTCTCCCTTCCCCCACCCACCTCCCCTGTGTGAGGTTTTGGGGGACCGCATGCCCATGGTCTGGAATAGTGCTTGTGCTTTTGCTGCACTGCGATCAGCTGGCTTCCTCTGGGTTGGAGGTTCTCTCTCCTCTCCCCCGTGCCCCTCCCCCCTCCCCCCTCCCGTTTCATGATTTTCTAGTCTACCTATCCTTTTGCTTTCCACCTCTTGACCTATCAGAGGCTGATGATCTCATGTATCCCAGATGAGTGTTTCAATAGTTTTTAATTCAGTATGTAATTATGGTAAGACTCAAACTGGGAACCCCCCTGAAATAATTTTTCACTTTCAGTTTTGGTTGCAAAAATCTTTGGCCTGTGCCAGATACACGCTCACACCCTAGTCCGCTGCCCTTAGGTCACCACCCCCCTGAAGCTCCCTTTCCCCGACTTGTAAGATTTTACAAGTAGTGCAAGCCTGGCTAGAATCCTAAAAGCACATGAAATTCTTATCTTAACTTTCTGTTCAATTGCGGGGTACTTCTGAAGCCCATCCGAAAGACAAATAGCCAGCAGTGCGCATTATTACAAACTCTATGTCCACCATCTGTGTATGTACCTCTCTGCACATCTCTCTGTATGAGTATACCACAGTGGCTTTCAAAGGCTGTCATTCAGTCAAGGGACTCTGCAGACATTGTATGTTCTACTCAAGAACAAAGCTAAAGAGGTTTACGAATGGCTGCAGGACCTGAAGATTGTGTTTCAGCCTTGATATGCCGTTTGGAAACAATGTGCTACTGTTTAACGGCGTGAACCAAATTTCTGCTAATGGGAAGAAGGGACAAACTCTCCACAAAAGCTGACAAAGCAGGAAGAACAGGATGACTGAGCTTTTAGATTAAAACTACCGGGGGCGTCTGAACTCTTATGGCTGGTGATGGAAGTAACAGTTTCCATAATATGGCCAAGTGATCAGATGTATGCCGCTTAGGTAAGAAAGAGACCATCGCCTACTTTTTCCTACTGGGAATGGTACTGGAGCCAGGGGGCTACGTTTTTGTTTCCTTGAGGTTTTCTTTGATCGTGCTTTTATGACATTTTCTGGAAAAAAAATTAAAAAAAATGAAACCCTAATGAACCGAACCCACAAACATTGGAATTTTGCTTGACCTTTACCTTGACTTTATTTAACTATCTCTAGGATTTCTTGCTGTTTCTAATGTTTGAGGTTTTCCTTAACCTGGTTTAAGATTGCCACCACACACCACTTTTAGAAGCCAGCGATGTCTGTTGGAAAGGGGGAATAGCAACAGCAAAGACAGGAGGCCCAGGGTATGTGCAGCCCACCCTAGACCACGACAAGCAGAACACACATCTCCTCAGAAGAGACCATTATCGTGCCTGCATGAAATTACCACGCTCAGAATTACTTGCTCCAAAAAAAAAAAAAAAAAAAAAAATCCCACATGGACCAATAGTTAAACTTTTCACTTGTTTAACAAAGTTTAAAGAAATTTATTGGACACATTTTAATTAGAAGTGACAAGAAAGGTCTTTAACAGATGATATGGAAGTTTAAAGAGAAAAACCAAGAAGGGATTTCCCACGTATTGTTAAATTGTGAAGTTTCCTTTTGGAAAACACTGTCTGCCTCATAAAATGCATCTTTGTTTCTTTGAGAAAATAAGAGGTGTATAATTTTTAACATGAAAGAGGACTACCTAAGTCAAAGCAATTCTAGGAGGTAAATTTTGCCTGTCCTCCCTTGGACACTCAGTGCCTCGGTACACTCTTCCAATTATATTTATTCAGAAATTATCCAACTATGGCCGAGCACTGTAGATTCATAAAATACAACAGTAGTGCAAAACCAAATTTAATGCCACTAATCGAAATGGCTTCCCACTTTCCGATGTAATCTGAGCGGCAGATCCAGATGATTTGGTGTATTTTAACATTTATGCCATTAAAAATGACAGTTTCATCTTTAATGAGGTGTATATCAACTGTCTGTTGCTTTTTAATGGGAAACTTTGCATATCAATGATATTTCATAAACATATTTGTCTTTATTTTTTAAAATTAGCTTTCTAATGCCATCCCCAAGGAAGCAGGCATTCAGCAGTAAAGCTGCCTACTTGAAACATCCTTGTTTAATATGGTTCAGTGGGTGCCAAGCACGTACGTAGAATGCTTTGATATTCACTGGGCCACGTAGAAGTAAGGGATTAGCCTTCTGAGAACTGCAAATTCATAATTAACTACAGAGAAGTACTTTATGTTGCCTATTTATAACAATTATTCAAATAATTGTATTCATCAGTCTTTTTACAATGGATAAAGCCAATTAGAAATAGGAACACTTTCAGCCAATCAGATTTCAGAACAAACGGATAGCATCCCTACTCAGTTGCCTCTATAATTGATTGCATTACTCACTGCTTTCCCTTTTGTTGCCTAAATCCGTAGTTGGGGCACATCCGTGCACTCAAACCCTTCCATCTCTAATTGGCACCCGCCCTTGAACACTGACGCTCAAGGTTTGCAATGGAAATTCTTCAAGAGCCGATACGATGACTTCCTTGTCACGGCACCAGCCTAGCTAGCAATATTCACTTGGCTTCTTTATAAAACAACTTACAAAACCCAAGCTTTTACTGACCATTCCTACATGATTGTTTCTGTTCCTTTGGGTTTTTGTGTTTTTTTTTTTAAATAGTGCGATCAGTTTGACATCGCTTGTTTCCAGAGCATTTGTTTCATGCTCTGGTTGGTAGTTCACTGAGCATCACTCCCACATCATTCATTCAGCAAATGCTTGCTGAGAGTATACTCTGTGCTTGGCTATAAGAGAAGGGCCGGATGAAAACTAAAGACCCGCCCCTCTCCCCGAAGTCTTGCGGTTTTATAGGCCCACAAATATTCTTCCAAAATGACAAATCCCGTTAGAGAGGCGTTAGCAAATTGTGCAAATTAGAAGACCCAGAGCCTTCAGACAGGACTTTGAGCAGAATGTCAAGGAACAACGGGTGGAGGCCTCAGATTGTCTCACATTTTGTGGTGGTTAATGATCTTCGTGAACGGAGCAGCCTGCAAGTAAAGCATGAGTAAATGGAATCCATCCCCTAGCCAAGCCTCCCATTGTCTTTCTATCTCCCTCTACCCCTCCTTTAATTCAGATGAAGCTAGCTGAGAGCTGGCCAGCGTTGGTGGTGGCTCGGTGTAGACCCTGCAAGCCCCCACCAGATTAGCTCCTGACCTAACTGCTTTCTCAGCTTTGAGGGTTTCATTTTTCAGGAATACCACTGATTCTTTTTTAAATTCTCCTTTTTAAAAAGTCATTTGGCGAATCAGATTTTCTGATGAAGACATAACCTGCAATCTGTAGTTAGCAGATGCTGTACCATTTTGAAATAAGTGATCCAAGATCGTCATAAATTGATAATGAAATGTATTTTGTCAGTATTGGCAAAGGATTTCAATTTATGGTAAAATGTGAAATAAAACTTACATACATTAGTATGTAACATCTAACTGTATTTGTATTTAAGAGCCATGTCAAAGCATCAACAGCTAACAATCAGGCTTTATTTTTTTTCTTTTTTGCATGCTGTTATGAATGAATGATTTTAAACATTCACCTTCATGTTTCGTGTGCTTTGAAAGCGGAGACTGAGGAATCTTTCTGTCTTGATTGTGTATCAATAACAAAATGAAATGATTGGAGAAATGTACTTATGGATTAATGCATTCAAGCTATCCAAAAAAGAGAGAGATAGCAAGAGATTTGGCTCATGTTTTTTTTTTTTTTTTAAGAAATTCATCCTCAGTTCTTAAGTGTTTTGTTTATGTCCCTTGAGGAACGAAAAGAAAAACGATTTGTTTTTACTTGTAAGGCCTTACTCAGTTGCCCAATTCCGCAGAAGAACTGGACAGTGAGGACCTCTCAGGTAAGGGCTAGTCATTAGGTAAGGCACTGCGGTGTCCAACCTGTGGGTGCCCTGTCCACTTCTACAAAACGGCCATTTGGTTTCCTGGGCAGTTAACTAGCAATTGTGGATTAAAGGAAAACGAATTTTTACTAACACTTTCTTCCTCCTCACCCCCTTCTTTCCCCTGTGCTCATGGCATGTATATTTCAGATTGGGACTGAGGGCATCACTGCAAGGGAGGTCAGCTCATCTTTGCATTGTACGAAGGCCACTGTTTTCAGTGGCGTAAAAATAATTTTTATGCTCTGGGTGTGTAACGGTTCAAGAGAAATGTTTCGCATTACAAAGCAGTTTAAGGATGTTGGATTATGAGAGAAGATCTTTATTTTAAAAAGGAAAAAACTACTATTGACCATCTACTTCTGTAGAATAGACTTGAAAAGCCACGTCACAGTTATCTTAGAAACACGGGGTGGGAGGGGCAGGGAGGAGGGGGGGCGATTGTTTTGTCACACACCGTGATGTAAACTAATTATCCACCTCAGACCTTTTTCACAACACACTGAGGTCTTGCAAAAGTAGGTTTCATGCTTGATTCCAGGATTTAGGTGTTACTAATCCAGAATAAGAAGCATATCCTGAAAGGGAGGGGGGGGCGGGGAGGAGATTCAGAATGGTCAGAGCTCAACAATTATATGAGCTGCCATGATGTTGTGGGACTTCGCTGCCAACCAGCTCCAGCTCCTTAAACATTTGGATCGTTAATTCCTAATAAATCAATAAGAAAGTCCCCTTCCTCATCACTGTGATAGAGGCACCAAGATGTAGGGCTGTAGATCCTTACTCCAGCCTTTGGAAGGAAGGGTTCCATATTGCCCCTTCTTGAAGAGATTTCACTTCAGCTCCCTTGAATAGTTGATTGTGAGGTGGTGGTCCTTGACTGCAGGTTTCACCCAGTGAGAAAATTAGAGCCACCTAGTCTTTCAAAGTGCAGATTTATCGCCTCCTAGGTGCTTCTGTCAAACTTAAAAAACAGGGAGGGTGGCTTTATGTTTCGATGTAGCATGTCCCGGTTTGAGCTTAGCGGTCAGATTTTTCCACCCAGTGGAAGCCCCAAGAGGCCATATTGGGTTTGTTCACTGCTGTATGCCTGTCATGTAGTAGGCGCTCGATTGATACTTGTTGGATGAATAAGTTCCAAATCCCAGTGAATTCAGATAAATAACTAGAAGATTAGAAAGACAGCCAGCCCATCAAGGGAGTGTTTCATTTTTGCCTCTTAACTGGTGGTGTATTTAGAGAAATTCCAAAAACAGTAGCCTGATTTTCTTTTAAAAGACGAGATAAGTCCTGCTCCTTGCATAGAATGTAATGCTGGTTGTAAGCAATCTGCGCTGAGTTCGTGTCCTGACCCTAAATAAAACACCTCTGACACGGCGGCCCTGGCAAGTGGAATTTCTCAAGGATCCCAAGAAAGGACTGAGTCCTCACGGGCCTGATCCCTCTTGGCGTAGTAGTCAGATGAGGATCACTGAGGTAGGCAAAGGTAATTTTTCTCCTCTTTAGGAAAGTGGGACTACGTCGGCCATCCACCCCCTTCCCCAGGCATCATCCATTAAGGAAACACTCCAGGTCTCTCAGCTCTGCACTAAGTCAGATGCAGTCTTGCTGCAGTTCTATCCATCACCCCCGAGTCAGGAGCAATAAACCAACAACTGTTCGTGCTCCTGATAATTCGGTTAAATGAATAATTACGTGGTACCCCCACCCCCACCCCCTCCAGGAACGCTGCAGCCCTGTGTTGTTCAGGAGCCGTAAGTCATGTAGAACACTGATGATCCATCAGGCCGGGCTTGGGCTGCCTTTGCATCTGGTTTGATGAACTAATCAAAAACTGATTAGCACCTTTGTTCAAAGGGGATGCTGATTAATCAATTACTATTGATTGTGAGCTTGGCTTCCCTCAGCAGCAAAGAGACATCTGAAGGGAAAAAAAAAAAACAACCAATAAAAATTGAGCAGCTGTCGTAGTGTTTAAATTTATTAAAACAAAATACATTATTTTTTATGAAGCTGTCTTGAAATGGGTCACTGAAGGGGAGCATATTGATTGAGAAAGGATGAACTTCTCAAATTTCTGTAGCCTAGAGACTGAATTCAATTATAATACAAGACAAACAGGTTAACACCCGTCTTAAACAGCCCATCAATAAATTAGAGTAGGTGTTGCGCATTTAATGCTAAACTGTGGTAATGAATAATATTACCATCCATTGCCTGTTCCATCTGGGTAGAGACTTCATCCTTTCCTTATTAGGGATAGATGCTGGATCCTGCATTTCCTTGGAAATAACGATGGTCTGTCTTCTGCCCACCTCCCCCATTCACCGCTGCTTCCTCAACTAATGACAATCTCATAAGCAACATATGGTGCTCCATCCTCACCCAGCAAAGCAAGTTGCCCAGCTGATCCTCCTCTTCAATCTGCATTAAAAAAGTATGCTTGTGTGTAGTTCAGTGATTTAATCATTGGCAGACCTGGGGAGCTTATCCAGTCCTACTTTGAACCGTTTCATTTACTTTTTGGGTGTTAACTTAATATTGACGATGGACCCAGAAGAGTTTTGAATCGTTTTATCAATTACATATGCTCTTTCCTGGTAACAGCTGGTGGTTATTGCCACCCATGTGGAATAGAATAGCTTTAAGCATATTTATCCTTCTATTTTACTTTAAAACTTTAAAAAATGTCTGCACTGCCTCCCTCCTCTCAGCAACGGAAGGGCCTTTGGGGACCGTTTAGCAGAGTGCATTGGTAAATACGCAGTGTGCCAGAGAATGGCCCTCCGGCACCATCAGAGCAATCCATCAGTCTTCTGCTTTTGAAGCGGAGGCACCAAGAAATTCCAGAGCTGTCATGCTTCCCCAAAAGACATGTTTTCAACTCTTGCCCTACAAATGAGAAAATGATCTAGAAAAATCCCACATCTCCCTCACAATCTGTAGAAAAGTATGGGTGGAGGGCAAACTCCAAATGGCTCTGATAATCCATGCCGGGCATGATGGAAGACTCTAGGTGAGCCGACTAGAGTTCCCTGAATGAAGTCTGAAGGAAACATGGGCTCACAGTACAGTCTAAATGTAGATAGTGGAAGCACACAAAGGCCTTTGGATCCAGATTATCAGTTCCGGGAGGGGCTGTATGACCATGTGGTCATTGAGAACGTCCTCAGGGTCAGCTGAACTTGCTTGAAATGTGTGTGGAGAAACTCAGTAGACAGAACGTTGCGGGGTAGAGGGGAGTCTTCCTTGCCCCCACTGAAAGCGTGGCCCGGATTCGGCAAACAGGCTATTTCACTTCTGTGGTAGACTAGCAAAAATAATAAAGAAAAACCAGCTGGGCTGTGTAGACAAATTCAAGGTATGGCTCATAAATCTCAAGTGTAGTAGTATTTAGCTTGTATTTGTACAGTTCTTTTCAGCTCAGAAAACTCTTTCACAGATGATCTCATTTGCCTTTCTTTGAGCACCACTGTTCGAGCTCCTGCATGTGCTAGGCTCTGGGCTGGGCACCAGGCATGCAGCGGTGAACAAGATCAACCAGGACCCACTGGGGTTCACGCCACAGGCCCCTGCACTCATAGCTACTTTCTAGTGGGGCAGCCAGGCTCACGACATGAGATAATGGTGGCCAGTGGCAAATGCTGTGGAAAAAAATTAAAGCGGGTAGAGTGAACCCGAGTGACTAGGGCTAGGAAGAGGCAGAGGCCAGTTGAGAACAAAAGGTCCCCATGGAAAGCCATTGGGACAGGGAGAGTGAGCCAGCCCTAAGAGGATTTTCCTGGGCAGTCTCGTTTTGCAAGTGAGGAAGCAGGGGCTCCCCAGGTTGAATGATTTCCTCAAGAGGCAGAGGCAGAATTTGAACATGCGGGTCTTCAGGGCTCTGCAGGAAATAGAGACTTTAGTTTGAGAGTAGTTCTCCTTCCACTGTGAACTCTACACTTCCTCTGCTCTGGGGTCTTCTCAGGAATCCTTTTCCTCTTGGACCCCTTTCAATTTCAGTGTGTGCATCCGGGGAATGAGGAGAGGAAAGTCAGGCTCTCTGGAGCCCATCAGGGGTAGAACCACAAGCTGACTGACCTGGAGAGATCTTTTCCGGTATCAAATCAAGCTCTTTCTCCTTCAAAGAAGACCTTCGCCTCGGATGATTTCGGTGCCATTGTCCCATTGTCCGAAATTATGGGATCAGTTTCCCGCTGAGATGGTCCTATAGGCTGTGGGAAAGTTTGGGGTCACAAAGGTTAAAACACGTAGAGTTCCTGATTTTAAAATTCTGTTGACTACAAGGCAGTAGACTGAGAAAATCATCTCGAGTCCATGGCAGCTTGGTCATAGCACTCCCAGGATAGAGTCTGAAGGTCATTGGATTGCTGATCTTCCCATAATCCAACATGCTACTGTTTCCCTCATGGGGAGGAAGGAGGCCATCAAATAGGAACGTTCCTCCAAACTAGAGAGTCGCCAGGCTACAACACAAAATGTGAATTCCAGTTCCACAGGTTGGACACTGCTTTGGGGTGACTTCACCATATTCATTAACCCATCCTCCTCACACCCCCAAATGCCTGAGGTCCCCAGAAGCATCTTTCTCCAGAGAGAGATTCTAGTGGGAAATGTATGTTTGGAAATACTTTACGACTCTGTCCTCTTTCTCAGCTGTATACTCTTTTAAGGAAAACTCTGGTTCCATCCTCCCGTGCCTTCCTGTTGCTCACAGTGGGAAAGGCACTCACACTTTGAAGTCCTTATGGAGATGAGGGGCGTGGACTCATGAGCGCACCTCCTGGCCTCTCGGGACACTAAATGTTTGGGAGGATCCCGTCCTGCTCATTAAGGCATTTCTGCTTTGGGGTAAAATAACTAAATCAAGTGACTTGAGACAGGAGAAAAATCATAAAAAATATTTGTTCTCAGTATTTAGAGGACAATAAGTACTTCCAATCCTCATACTCAGATGG